TATAGAAGTATGAAGTACCGAGCCCCGTCCCATGAATTTCTCCCTCGAGCCACTGTCCGGTCCAACCCATGTCGGCAATCCGTAGCTCGCTCTAGTTTTGGAGACAATCCCCTTGGCGTTATATGACGAGGTAGTTCATCCTCTTTTCATTGATGCTCTGATCTGGCGCAACAACGGCATGTTGATACCATGTAGGACGGTGTTTTGGTTTACATGGTGGCGATACTAGATATCGTGTTCGAATTTTCGACCCCCTCTACTCCCTCGGTAGCCATGAATGGTGGACGAGTAGATCATGTTGTGCGGGGTCGAGAACCGTCACTCCGCGCAAGGGGGATGATCGCACCACGTTGTGTTAGAATGGTCAAGCATCCTCGAGGTAGTTACACAGTGCTTATAACTGTCTCTGGAAGTGATAGCACCAGAAAATAAAATGAACGTTCGTTGTCGAAGAGCGAACAAACTGTCGTCTATTGTGCACGGAAGAATTCGGGACATCTCCCAGATCTACGTGTGTATTTGGGTTCTTGTTGTGCCGCCCTGGAGGCGCGTTGGTTCGGATGTCTTGGTTCGGTTTTCTGGGGTCCCAAAAAGAGAAAGGTCTCACGGAGTTCTCGTTCTGCTGCCTCGCTGCTCCTGCGGCAAGAGTTTGATAGACGCTTGTCCACTGGACCCAAGGGCCACGTTGTGAGAAGGACACAATGTGTAACATGCCGCCCGCTCTGGAGGGCCACGCGGCAGAGAAGGGCAGCAGCTAGCTACATCGAAATTCGGACGATAGCTAGCAATCATGTCGTAGCTTTTACACAGTTCTCTTAACTGTCATTCTGGAAGTGATAGATAGCACCAGAAAATAAATTGAGTCATACGCAGCTGTCATTCGTACGCAAGTAAGTAAGCACAAGATGCCGAACACCCTCGGCAGGATGCAGCGCACCCTTCATGCGGCTCGCCGAATCGCGCTTGGTGATGTGAGAGCCTGGTCCGGTGCGAACCCGGCGTGCTCCGTCCCGACTTTGTAGGGATGCGAGGTCAATGGTCTAACGACTACGGCATGCACACCATGAAGTACCCCCCCCCCCCCC